ATTGGAATTTTGGTAGGGATTGCATTGAATCTGTAGATTGCTTGGGGGTAATATTGACATTTCAATAATATTGTCTTCCAGTCCATTAACATGAGCTGTGTTTCTGTTTATGCCAAATTTAATTTTTTTTTCAGCGATGTTTTGTGGTTTTCATTGTACAAGTCTTTTACCTTCCTAAGGTAAATTCCTTCTTAAGGTTAATTTCTAAGTATTGTTTTTGATGCTGTTGTAAATGGAATTGTTTTTGTAATTTGCCTTTCAGATTGTTCATTGTGGGTTTATAAAGATTCATCTGAGTTTTGTGTGGTGACTTCGTATCCTGATGCTTTGCTGAATTCATTTATTCTAACACTTGTTTTTGTGGACTCTTTAGGGTTTTGTGCATATAAGATTATACCATCTGTAAACACAGATAATTTTACTTCTTTTCCAATTTGGATGCCTTTTATTTCTGTTTCTTGCCTAATTGCTCTACCTAGACTTTCCAGAACCATGTTCCAGTGATGAAGATGGATATCTTTACCTTTTTTCATACATGGCTTTTATTATGTTGAGATAATTTCCTTCTATTCCTAGTTTTTTAACGTTATCATTGAAATGTGTTGAATTTTGTCAAATGCTTTTTCTGCATTGAGATAACCATGTCTTTTTTTCCCTTCTTCCTGTTAATGTGGTATATTACATTGATCAGTTATCCTATGTTGAACCATCCTTGTATTCCAGAAATAAATTCCACTTGGTCATGATGTGTAATCCCTTTATTAGGCTTATTTTTATTTACTACTAATTTGCTGAGGGTTTTTACATTAATATTCATAAGTAATATTGGTCTGTAGTTTTCTTGGAATGTCTTTCTCTGGCTTTGGTATCAAAGTTGTGCTGGCCTAATAAATGAGTTACAAAGTGTTCTCTCTTAAACTTTTTGGAGAAGTTTGGAAAGGATTGGTTAGTTTTTATATAAATGTTTAATAGAATTCACCCATGTAGTTATCAGGTCCAGGGCTTTTCTTTGTTAGAGGTTTTTTGATTGTGGATTCAATCATACTAGTTATAGGTCTGATATTCAGATTCATTATTTCTTTGTGATTTAATCTTGGTAGGTTTTGTGTTTCTAGGAATTGAGCCATTTCATGTAGGTTATCCAATGTATTGGCATACAACTATTCATAATACTATCATAATCCTTTTTATTTTTGTAGAATTGGTCATGTCCCTACTTTCATTTCTGATTTTAGTAATTTGTGTCTTGTTTTGTTTTTAAGTAAACTCTACACCCAACGTGGGGCTTGAACTCATGACTGCAAGATCAAGAGTCCCATGCTCTACTGCCTAAGCCAGCCAGGTGCCCCTTATCAGTCTTTTTTAGTCCGTCCAACTGAAGTTTTGTCAATTTTATTAATCCTTTCAAAGAGCCAACTTTCGGTTTCATTCTATTGTCTATTTCATTTCTCTCTGCTCTAATCTTTATTATCTTTTCCTTTCTGCTAGCTTTGGTTTAGTTCATTCTTTTTCTAGTTGTAATATTAGGTTGTTGATTTGGGATCTTATATTTTAAGTGTGTATAGCTATAAATGCCCCTCCCCTTAGTACATCTTCTGCCGTGTCCCTTAAATTCTGGTATATTGTATTTTCATTTTTGTCTTTATTTTCTCATTTCCCTTGTGATTTCTTCTTGAGTCTGTTGATTGTTTAAAAGTGTGTTAATTTCCACAGTTTTGTGAATTTTTCAGTTTTCCTTCTGTTATTGATATCTAACCTCATACCACTGTGGTTGGAGAAGATACTTTGTATTGATAAGTATATTTAAAGTACATAGAGACTTGGGGCGCCTGGGAGGCTCAGTCAGTTAAGTGTCTGCCTTCATCTCAGATCATGCTTCCCGGGTCCTGGGATCAAGCCCTGCATCGAGCTCCCTGCTCAGTGGGGAGCCTCTTCCCTCTCCCTCTGTCTACCTCTCCCCTTGCTTGTGCGCTTTCTCTCTCTCTCTTTCTCTCTCAGTCAAATAAATAAATCTTTAAAAAAAAAATACATAGAGACTTAATTTGTTGCCCAGTATATGCTCTGTCCTGGAAAATGTCCCATGTGTACTTGTGAAGAATTTATATATGTCTGTTAGATCTGTCTGTTGTGTAGAATGTTCTGTATATGTCTGTTAGATCTAATTGGTTTATTGTGTTATTTCTACTCTTTCCTTATTTATCCTCTGTCTAGTTGTTCTATACATTATTGTGAGTGGGGTATTGAAGTCTCCAATTATTATTTTGGTTTTTATTGAGGTGTAGTTGACACATAAGATATTAGCTTCAGGTGTATAACATAATGATTTGATATTTGTACATATTACAAAATGATTATGACATTGAGTCTAGTTAACATCCATACACACACAGTTACAAGTTTTTTTTCTTGTGATATTAACTTTTAAGATTTACTAACCTATCAACCTTCAAATGTACAATACATTATTAATTATAGTCATCACAGTGTACATTATATCCCCAGGCCTTTTTAATTTTACCCTTTGGCCACCTTCGCCCATTTTCCCAAACCCCCTCACCCTTGCCCCTGGCAACCATCAATCTCCTCTCTATTTCTATGAGTTTGGGGTTTTTAAGATTCCACATATAAGTGAGATCATATAATGTTTGTCTATCTCAATCTGACTTAATTCATTTAACATAATGCCCTCAAGGACCATTCACATAGTCACAAAAGGCAGGATTTTCTTCTTTTTATGTGGCTGAATATCATTCACTTTTATAATATACACCACATCTTTGTTCATTTATCTGTTGACAGTTAAGTTGTTTCCATGTCTTGGCTATTGTAAATAATTCTACAGTGAACATGAGGATGCATATATCTTAGTGTTTTTGTTTCATTCAGATAAATACCCAGAAGTGGAATTGCTGGCTCATAGGGTACTTCTTCTTCTTTTTTTTTTTTT